TAAGTCGCACGAAGACACGGCAGTTATTTTTATGCCGGATGCCCTTCCTAACACAACCACAGACCACCGAGCTACCACAGCCCACTGTGTGGAGCAGAGAGCTGCACCAGTATCTAGGACACCCGGAGGAGCAGATGGTGGGGGTTAAGGGCTCAGAGTGGGACGAATGAGGGTGGGGGCAGGTGTGGGTGCTTCACATACCCCACCCACATTTGTGATGTTGTCGGTACCGGGGCTTGAACCGGCAATTTTCCGATCACAGGCCCACCTTCTCTAACCTCTGTGCCAACACTCCCTACTTATACATCGGAAAATACGGTACTTTATTCAAAATTTTCTGGGGGAGGACCCCCATACCCCACACCAGTGTTCCCCCCCCCCCCCACATTAGGAAATGCTTCTGACACCAATGGTCACCACATTGTTCAAAACAATAGCCATTGCCAGCACTGGGGGCTAAGCACCCCTGAAGGTCAGATTCTAGAATCGCCCCCGGTTAGAAGTCAAAGGAGGATTGCGTAACATACTCCGTTGAAGAGTCAGACACCCTTGAGGAAAACACTTCTCATATATTTAGGTTAAGTCACTTTTGAATGCATACGCAAATGAGTGTAAAAAAGCTGCTTTTTCCAGAGCTGCATCCGTTTACCTTCTGCCAGAGCACCTGCAGCTGGACTGCTCAGTGTAGTTGCTGTCGGGCTCAACAGGAGGAGCTGTAGACTCATCACTTCCTGTCACCGAGCTGCTCGAGCCTCTTCCCATTGATTTATCTGGTTGCAACAAAAGCAGCAGCGTGCGGGTCTTTGAGACGCCTCTCAACGTGTTCAAAGTGCTTAGCTGTAAACCTGTGGGTCCATGACTTTAATGTGGGCAAGCTTAAAAGGTGAAGCCCCCTCTATATTCCTCTAATCCACTTACCGGGGTCATTGTTTATCTCGTTTTGGGCCATGAATGCCGTGCACAAGAATGACGGCAACCTCTCGCCTGTTTGCTCAAGGGAGGCCATAATCATAATTAAGTAGCCATCAGGCAGCAACATGAGAGGAAAATAATAATTAGGTGTTGCTGGAGCGTTATGATCACCCAAAGGAAGCTGTCTATCTCCTCACATCCAATTACAGACGACTGCAAACAAGGATTTACACGTTCACCAAGAAGAGTCTGTTGCTCAGGCCCTTAAATTTAGGGAACAGGTTGTTCAAGCTTAACATCTGCAGATGCCCACGGACATCCTCTAATATCTCTCCCAGCGCCTTTCCGAGAAATGAGTCGTCCTCCGGCATACTCACTGTTGAGGTGAATTGCACCCGTTTGCTTGCATACACCTTGAATGGAAATAATGAGGCGGCTCCTGACTGCGTCACGGTAATGAGAAGGCAGCAATGAACGGAGAGCGGTGTTCACCGGGGGACCGCCGGTGGATTTAATTAGTCTGTGTTTACCTCCTCGTGTGATGCCCGAGAACCTGAAGCACAATCACAAGCACGTGCGCGCCGAGCACAGACACAAACAGCTGTAAAGGAGATAAATTGCGAGTGTCTCGAGTCTATCAGTGCGTAGGAATGGCAGCTCAGTTGGGAGGAAAACTCCAGACGGAAAAGCAGCATTTGAAAGACAAGAGCGCACCATGTTGGTGTTTTGTTTGTGTCAGGGAGGGCAGAGACGTAGCGAGTCAGAAAGAGAAGAGGTTGGCGTGAGGTGCGCTCGGGGATGTTCTGCGGAGCTTGAGGCACGCAGCGTGGAGAGGAAGTGTAAAAGTGCAACGATGCACAACTGCATACAGGCAACATCTCACACAACCCGAGCTGCACTGTCAGGAAAGACAGAAGCTAAGAAGAATGATAGAGTTACACTTTTCTCAACCTACAGTAACACCATTATCACAACAAACACCTTGTAAGACTCACTTACTGCTGACTTCACAAAAACCTGAATAATCATAATGGCTGATGACGGGTTGGAGATTACAAACTACATTTAACTTGTAAACAAATCCATCAGACTGACAGATGTGCATCCCATAAAATCCTCTTTGCTTCTCCATTCCCTGCTCGTTAATGGACAAAAGTTGCAAACCTCGTCCTTGTCAGTGAAACATCCTTACTGTTGGTTTAGTTATAAGAATAGAAAGGTGCTCACCATGTGAAGGTTACTTACAAACACCTTTACTTTCTAGGTTGGACACTAAACTAGAACTGTGTCCAGTTACTTGGAATTACTGGGAATCTGAGGGAGTGGTGGCGCAGAGGGTAGAGAAGGTGGGACTGTGAGCAGAAGATCACCGGTTCAACTCTCAGTTCAGACATGAAAAATGTGGGTGGGATAGGTGAAGCACCCACACCTGCATCCACCTTCATTTGCCCCACTCTGGGCCCTGGAGCAAGACCTTTAACCCCTGTTATCTGCTTCCCCGGGTACCCTAGATGGCAGCTCTCCGCTCCACACAGAGACCTGTGGTAGCTCGGTGGTCTGTGGTTGCGTCCGGAAGGACATCCAGCGCAAAAACAACAGCCAAGTCTTTGTGTGAGTTAAGTTTCTGGGAAAAACCAATGCAGACATGTTCCTGTTTTTAGCATTTCTGTTTTGTTGTTACATTTCCTTTTGGTTGTCATTTTATTTTAACTTGTTAAAAAAAATAAAATTTGTACGTATCTTTTATGATTGTTTATGGCTGTTATTGTTGTCCACTGTTGTCATCACTGTTTGTTAAAAAATTAAAGTGTTTCTTGTAAAAGAGTCCCGGAGGCTCAATGGGATTAACTTGTATAAATAAAGGTTGAATGACTGTAGTTCGCTGTGGCAACACCTGAAGAAGAAGAAGGTTGCCGGGTTGAATCCCGACCTGGAACCTTTCTGGGTGGAGTTTGCATGTTCTCTCCCTGCTTCTGTGGGTTTCCTCCAGGTACTCCAGTTTCCTCCCACAGGCCAAGAGCATGCACGTTAGGCTGATCAGTAACTCTAAATTGTCCCTAGGTGTGAATGTCTCCATGTGTCCCTGTGATGGACTTACGTGTACAGGGTGTCTCCTGCCTCTCCCACAAAGACTGCTGGACATGGACACCAGTGACCATGACAGGAAAGGAACAAGTGGGTAAAGATAACAGTTGGATGGGAATCAGTGATTTAGCGTGGAAGTACATTTCTAAGTTGTGACGGACGTCTATTTTCAGCCATGTAACCAATTTCATGTAGTTTAAAAGTCAATGTTTAACAGATATCTACATTTCAACTAGAAGTTGTTTAGCTGTCTTTAAGTTGTCTCTGTGTATAGATGTCTAAATGGTGTCTATTAGACCAGTTCCCAACCCTGGTCCTCAAGGAACACTGTTCACTCGTACTCATCCAACCACAAAGACTCGTGTTCGTGCTGCTGTTGTTCCGTGTATTGTTTTACATTATTAGTGTTTAGTGCATATCTTAGTTTATATCTTAATATTTACTGTTTCTTTTTACACTTTATATTTTTGTTATTGTTGGGTGTAACTGAGACCCTGTGTACACAATTTCGTTCCACCTCATGTACCACATGTGATGCAAATGACAATAAAGAACCTTGAACCGTACTTGTTTCTGCTCCAACACACCTGATTCAGTGATTTAATTACTTCAAGTTCTGCAGAGGCCTGCTAATCACCCATTCATTCAAATGAGGTGTGTCAAAGCAGGGAAACAACTAACAGTTGCAGGATGGCGTTCCTCAAGGACTAGAGTTCGGAACCACTGTATTAGACTGTATGCCTAAGCTAAAACTGATTTATATTTGGTTTAAAAGTGAATAATTGGTCATTGCCTAAATTGTAACTAGTTGCTTATTTAGATGCATCAATTTAAAGTTGTATCCACCAAGACATAAAAAAATATAAATTCTAGTTCAAATTTAGAAGTCTACTTAGATTTCACTTTTAAACCAAACCTAAACCAGTTTACCAGCCTAGATGTTCATGAACAATGAAGATGTCTTGCATGTTTTTTTTTCCAACCCCAAAAAGAAGACTGGGAAGTCCAAATGACAGGACAATGACATTATTAAATAAACTTGTTTCCCAGAGCAACTGGAGAAGAAAACTGGTCAATAAATGATTCAGTGGAGGTACATTAAAAATATCTGAGCTTACGGGGAGAAGCTCCAGTCCTGGTGGCACAAGCTCTCCATTTGCTGAAAGTGGAGAATAATAATCCTCTCTGTAAAAGAGCAGTACAACCATCTAATGCATAGATCCAGGCAAACGGTGCACAAACGCAGTTTTGTGTCAGCTGTGCCAGAAAACTCACACATGCACATTTGCACACACCGGCTGCCTCACCAATTAAGCATCATTAACATGATCCCCTAGGTGTGCTTCCCGTTTAAGTGTGATGTGAACGCTCTGGCTCTGGCCAGGCTGAGGGCCAGGCTTAATTGGCTTCTGAAAGACACAAATGCCCTTACGCAACGTTACAAAGCCAGCCTCGAGTACAGCTTTTGTAGGAACAAGGAAACGCAGAAAAATAACAAAAACAGCTCTTCAAACAAGAGTGAGCACAAACGGAAGCAGTTCACTTGTCTAGTGCAGGTGAATGGATGTGTGTTTCGTAAGGATTGGCAGGTATAGAGGTGTTTGAATAACTGCCTGTCCAGAAAGACAAAAAACACAGAAACGTGTCTCTATACTCAAACGCTTTTTATAATCAAAAATATTATCCAAGCATTTACAGTGTATTACAACAAATGATTCTATGCAACGGTTGACAGCCTTTACAGAAAATGAAGAAATATATTCATTTTAGATCTATGTTACAAACCAGGAACAGCAAAAAGAGGAGAGTCTGGGAGGCCGAAGGGTCCACAGGGTCCGAGTGCTCAGGCCAACCCTGACGTCTTCCCTGATCAGCCCTGCAGACCAGGCCCACGCCGTGCAGAGCCACGTGTCGGCTCAAAGCGCACATCGCCCTGCTCCTGTGGGCAAAACTACGTAATGATCCAGTGACGGAGAATCCAGTGCTCCTCTGCAACTTCTACGGAGTCATCGTGTCTAAAAATATTTTGCAGGTACAGAGAAACTCCAAGATCAAGCTCCTGAGGTCTCCATCATTGCTCAATATCAACGTCCTTGTAACCATGGCGATGGGCTGTTAAGTTCCTGCCGCCTACACACAGTCCCCGAAGCTCTCGTATAACATTCCCTCTTGATCTGAGATCAGTCCTCTGCATCCTTGTACAGTCAGGTACAGTCCCGACTCTTTGATAGCTGTGAGCTTTCATGTTTGTTTTTTTTACTGTATCTTTCACGTCTACGGTGTCTCTGCTGCCTGTCGTCTCTTCCACGTCCCAGAAGTGTCAGCGAACAGAAACTAAGTGCTCTTGATGCCCTGGAAGCCGCAGAAGTTCCAGCGTTTCTCCAAACTGGCTCCGACACCAGTCAGCTCCTGTCTGAAGGTGCAGGGCAGCCGAGAGAGCAGAGCCTCCACCTCGCCGGGGTTGATCTGCAGAGACGGAGGAACGACGAGTCAACATGTGCTCAGCGACAGAACCACACTTAAACGTCTTCTACATGATGGTTATGAACAGCAATCCAACATTTTAAAGTCAAACTCGTATAGTAGTTAAAATTTGATTATTTTTTAAGATCATGGTATTGGTCCCATTCAGATGTTTTTTTTTAATTACGTATGAAAACACAACTGAAGTGCAAATAAACACAAAATCAAGACATGGGAAAAACAAACAAACAAGCATGTGACCTTTGCACACAGGGCTGAGCTCTACAAAGAACACAAAGTTGTAGATTTATTATCAGCCATTTGCTCTGACATGTTGCGTTTGTTTTCTGTTTGGAGTTTGATAGTTCTCTATCGATATCTTAATGGGATATTTTCTTTAACCATTTTAGCTGAAAATTAACACAATACCGTTTGTTTCTGTAAACCTAAGCTAAGAATCAAACATGCATAAATAAAAAGAGCAATAAAGTCGATTTTCCTCTCTTTCAATATTCTACAAAATGATGTTGGATATTTCCTGAATTTCTCAACAAGTCTCATACTAGAACATCACAGTTCAGTTAAACCACTGGGTCTTTTCTGTGAATGAAGAAACATTTTCATAAAAATCCAGCAAAAGACTGATTTTGTTCTATTCAAATTCTTATTCTTTATATTGGAAAACATTATTAAAACGATAAAAACAAACGACCAATGAAGAGACCCCATGTCTTACAGGTATACAGTAGTCCCTCACTACTCGCGGTTCGTTTATCGCGGACTCGCTCTATGGCGGTTTTTCAAAATAAAATTGGACATGACACACAACTGGCTGATTGATGGATGAGCTGCACGATTGGCATGACATTTTTTATTTAAAATAAATTATTTAAAATGATTTAGCACCAGCTGCACCTCTGTGCAGCTCACGCTGCAGGATACGCTTCCTGCTGCAGCTGATCAGCCGTTCTTCGTGCAGAGCGGAGAAGTGGGCGTGGCCAAGAGCGCTTGCAGGTGGCAAAGAGCAGAGGAGGCAGAGAGCTGAAATCATGACATTCTGTGCTCTTTTAGAGCGTTTAGAAACATTGTTTAGAATATTGCAAGCGTGTGGGAAGGGTTTAAAACGCCATATATATATATATATATATATATATATATATGAATACTAAAATAAACTACTACTCTAATTGTACTAATATTTCTACTTAGCGTTTTTCTACTTATCGCGGGGCTTCAGAGTACAGATCCCCTGTGTTAAACTAGTGTACTGCTATCATTTGGTGCGTCTTCACCATCTATAAATGCACTCAAAGAGAACGGTTCCATTATTTACAACAAGTCTCGTTTGGATACCTGAAGAATCTGAGAGCACAGCCGTGATTTCTTTATTGATCGAGAGCAATTTATCCATCTCTGCGGAGCAAAGCATCGTGTTTGAAGATCAGTTCTTGGCTCCTATTATCAGACCCAGAGAAGGTCAGTCGTGCTTTCATCTTCTCCAGGTTTGATTATTGCAGGGTTTTGTTTTCTTGTCTTAAATCTAAAGGACAGCTGGAGAAGAGCTGATGGAGACAAGTCGACTGCATCAGCACAGCCCTTTCACTCCCGTCGCTCAGTGGCTGCTTGGGAGCTGATTTGAAGATGTTGCTGTTAAAACTTTGTGGGACCAGACTCCTGGTTGTGTCTGTCATGTGATGTTTGTATGAACAAGCTGTAACACCAACACTACTGCTACAGAATGTCAGTAACACTGCTCACAATGCAATGTTTTGTTTTTTTTACTGGCGGAACGCTGTAAATGTGCTTTAACAAAAACTTTATCGATACGGTAAGCAATGAACCAGATCATTTTGTTGTGCTGTAAAGAACCAGATTAAATTGTTACGTCTTAAATGTTCTTTTTCGTTAAGATAAATGTTCATGTTTCACTCGTCCTTTCAAAACCGCAATAACCTAAACTTTTATTTTCCCTAATCTAGTTAAGACTCATATTAGGGGTGGGACTCTTTAGGCACCTCACAGTCCAGTTAGGATTCTGATGGCTGGGATGAGATTATCAAAGAATTATTGAGGCATTTCAATTATTTTGAAACTTAAATGACAAGTTCAAAACATCCTTATTCATTCTCAGTAATCCAGGCAGAAAAATCCAACAAAGTTAAGTCAGGTCCTCTGGACGGTTCCTTTTTGTTGAAATGTTTTGTCTTTCATCCAAAGGACTTCATCAGTCTGAGGAGCCACAACAAACTCCGTCTTATAAATAGCACCTTCACATAGTGGGTCAACCAGTTTGAAGGTGCTCAGATGGTTTCTGGAGTCCGTCCCCTCCCTGTCATCCAGAAAGCGTCCAGAGGACTTAACTTTGTTGGATTAAATGATGCCTTATTTTACATAAACACTCATTTATAGGTTTTCATAAGGAGTGTACATTAACACTAATAATGTAAAAACCCTGTTAATCACAGACCAACAATTAGCACAGAGGCTAACTTTACTTTGTAAATGTCATAGAAAAGCTAAAGTGGTTAGCATTGTGTTTATGACAGGAAGTTTAAAGACAAATCAAAACTTTCAAAGTCATTCTTAAAGACAGTCATGCTACGACAACTTCAACTATTATTTACAGACAGAAAATCTTCAGGGTTCAGCAGAAAAAAAGTAAAAAAAAAAGATGAAAACAACGGTGGCCCTGAGGTGTAAATGAACAACATTGGAAAGAAAACAAACAAACAACAGAATTACATTTAAAAAAACAACAAAAACAACAGAAAAAACAGAATTTCATTTGGCAAAAAAAAAAAAAAAAAAAAAAAAAAGGAATTACATTAGATACACAACAGAGGTGAAGTTAGCAGGCTAGCCTTTAGCCTGTAGAAATGGAGAGTTATGTTTTGTTCAAGCTTAAAGAAAAAGATAATGCTGGAAAAACTCGGCAGGATCTTCAAGGTAATTAAGTTTTTCAAATGTAATTCTGCTTTTTTCAAATGTTATTTTGGCCACTTCCGCTTTGGCCACTTCCGCTTTGGCTTAATGCAAGTCTGTTTTTTCAAATTAGTTCAGTTTTTTCAAATGTTGTTCATTTACACCTTGGGGCCACTGTGGAGGAAGCTACGGTAACTCCGCTGGGACAAACAACAACTTGCAGCAACCACTGACTATCTTAAAGCGGCAGCACAAATGAACATAAATATTTTTGACATTAGAAAACCCATTCAGGATCTTACAATCTTACATCTCATTATCATCTTACTGAACTACGGCTCATCTCAAAGCCCTGATCTCAATTATGCACCAGTAATGTCATTTCCTTTTTGTTTATTTGGTTTTCTTTTCACGTGAACAAATATTTCAGAGAATATTGAAGACGGACATATAAAATGCTTATCACCTGCCCGTGTCACCCAGTGATTTGCTCCAATGATCACGTTTTATACTTTTTGACACCACACCACCGTGGAAACTGACAAACCCTTCACTCACTCGACTGGGCTGAGGATTACTTGGTCAGCTGAGATCCCAGGTGACTGTCAGAATTTACTGTAGGAGACAGTCTGCAGAGAGCTGGGCTAATAAGACCGTTCGAGCCCAGTTCTGATGAATTGACATGTTATTGTCCGTCACGCACACAGGTTTTGTCGTTTTTACAATGAAGCGGTGTGTGTGGAGCCACCAGATAAGACTTGCTGTTGGGGAGTCTGGCCAGGTATTGACAAAACTCTGTGGGCTGCTCGGTGTGTGTGCGCCAGAGAGCCAGCGTGGGAACAACAGATGCACAAGAAAAAAAAAGAATCAGATGCACACAGACAGAAAAGCGTGGGCTAACACATGAACATAAACAATTTAAATAAAGTAAAAAAAAAAAAAAAGAGCCACGAGAGAGGACTGTCACACTCTGCATGCATGAGAATGTGAGAATGACTCATGGTGATGACGAAAATATTCAATAAACAGAATTTCTTATAAATGTGTGAAAAGAAAAAAAAAAATCAGGACAAAGTTGGAATTTTTGTCACAGATGACATCAACTGATGAGCAAAGTTAAATCTGAGAGTTTCATCCCAGCTGCTAAGTGAGAGCGTCTTTGTCTTTTTTATTTTATTTATCTGGCAAAGAAGAGTCACAATAGGACTAAACAAATCTAATCAGAAAGTCTGGAATAAAATAGTTGTACTTCATTAAAAGAAGTGTTGAAGCAATGATGTGGTGATTGGTTTCAACGTTCATTTTTATTTTATTTTAATGGTTTTACAGCAAATTAAACGTCTAGTTTTGTTAAACTTTATGGACTTACTAAAGAAGAAAAATCACAACTTTTCTCAAGCTGAGCGTTTCTACCTCAAGTGAGTTGACAAACCCTTTGAGCACAGAAAGCGTCTGCTTCACGTCCATAAAATGACTTTTTCCTCAGGTAAAGACGCCTGCTTGGAGCTGATCCTCCACATTGTTCCTCTGTGTAACTATGGCCCATTTAAATCAACAAACATACCGGAGAAACTCGTTTGAGCTAACATTACAAAGTGCTGTCAGACACAAGAAGAAGAAAAGTGAGGAATGATTATTTTATGGTTCTGACTGAACAGATTATACACCGGTTCTCTGAACACGTGACAAACTGTAGGGTGAATGTGTTGTTCTTTTAAAGGATGGATGACTGGATTCATTTCACCAGAGATAGAATGGCAGACCTCATTTTATGTTATCAACTTGTATTCTGACTGATCTTCAGTGATCACTTGAGTCAGTGAGTCTTCCGTTAATCCACCTCTTTGGACAAGACGCTCTATTGTAAGAATACAACATGGCTCAGATCAAAATTCTTCCTGAATTTTCCAGAAGTTTTACAAATTATCTTAAAGATGCTGATAAATTACATACCTTAGATGCAGCTTTCTTTTGACACTAAAATGGTAAATTATTAAAATATGGTTTTCTTTAGGATGTTATATTGAGACAAATTGATGGGAATGTAAAGGTCATGGATGTGTCTCACTTACTAATGTCAAATGTTATATAAACAATGTGTGTGCGGTTGAGTTGTTTTGTCTTGGTGAAGTGGAGCCTGCACAGCTGTTAAACTTCAAGGCCATAAGCTGTGAAGCAGAGTTGTGTCTGTCCATCTCCATTGCTACTATCTTCATGTGCTTCAATTCTCGGTTTAGTTGTTCAATGAGAAGACTTTTTTTTTTAATGAAAGTAAACTGGATGGTCTTTTTGACATTTTGATAGCTGTTATTTTGACAAATTGGCACCATTGTTTCAGTACATAATGTGGATACACAACGAGATTACCCATCAAACATTTCTCTCATATTGTTAATAAATCATATTTTTAGGAATGACCCATTTAAACTGTAAAACTGATTTGCAATTTAGATGTGCTGTTTAATTATATTTTTGTGTTTTAAATTAAATTGCCCATGACTGAACTTTTACGGGCAGCTCTGATGTGATATTAAGAAGCTCGTAAGTGGTTATGTTTAAAATGAGTGTTTATGGAACCATTTTCAGATTAAATATCCAAGGATTATTGCGCATGGACTTTGTTGTTATATCCAATATAGGTTTTACTTGTTCCATGCAGTCAAATTTGTTCATAACTTTTTGTTATTAGTAAGCTTGAGAGTTAAAAGATCCAAGCAAACGGTTACCGGAATGTACCCTGTCAAAATAAGAGAATTCCTGGATCCGGTTCTGGCAGGATCTGGCTCAAATTAAGCCCAAGGGTAAGTGTATTTTTACAAGATGTAAAACTGTTCTTATAAGTGATCGTGATTCAGAGAACTTCTGTTAAAACCATCTGTCTCTGCTGAAGGCTCGTAAAAAGTTTAAGGAGAGCCGGCTGCATTAAGTGCAAGCCCTTGCACAAATCCATAAGTCAGCCCAGTAGGGGACACAAAAGGATCGGTGGATGTATTCTGGAGTGGAACTGAGGGCCAGCTCCGTTCAACTGCTCCACTGTGGGCGTTTTCATTCATGCGAGTGTTACCTTGGCGTCCAAACGCTGCAGGTAGGAACAGATGTACTCGATGCTGGCTCCGAAAGGATGGACGTGCAGGAAGGTTGAAATGATCCCTGTGGTAGAAAACAACAAGTCAAGCAAAGATGTTAACACAAAGTCAGTCCCAATACTTCCAGTTTCACTCGACCGTTAAACATTTGCAAATCACCAAAGGACATTCCAAACACCAGTTTATCCAAGTCCTTCTCGTCTCCTGGAGCGGAGTGGATGGACCAGCTTCAGGAGACTTCTCCCAGAGTCCCATTACTGTTAAAAGCTTCTTGTACGTTGTCGCTCCAGATTAGGAGTGTTTAATGACGCCTTTGATGCTGTTGTCTCTGATCAAAGCCGTATTCTCCCCCAGCACAAGCAAACCATCTGTTATCAGCTCACAGAAAAGACCAGGGGAGAGGTAATCCTCCATCTATGATTCCTAACAACCTAAAGAGCAACACACAGTCACAGCCGCGGAGCTTTCCACTGAGCAAAAACACAACAGTCACTTCAAGCTTCTAAGAGGAAAATGCTGCTCAAGACTTCATTTTTGTCACCTGCAGGAGGTCAATCGATACTCGAGCTCTAACAACGCACCCATCTGAAGCTGCTCCGGTAAATGGGAGTCTAATGGTGCACTCGGATAGAACAACAAATCAAAATCTCACTGTGATTTAAACGGCTGAGTTTACCCTAAACAAAAAGGCTTCGGTTTGCTTACTCGTCCGAAGGAGACGTTAAAAAAAAAAAAAAAAGTTATGTGAAATATGTTGCTGGAAAAACTTGAATCCACTTTGTATTGATCTGAGCAAAGTCAAAGTTGATATTTTACCTTTTTCAGGAAAAGTTTAAAGATCAGAAATTCCAATACAGTAGTCCTTCATTTATCGCAGGGGATCCATACCCTGAAGACACGGGATAAGTGAAAAACCCGCAAAGTAAGAATAGTTGTAGTTTATTTTAGTATATATGTTTG